TGGAACCTATCAGCGAACTCTTATCCGAAGGCTAGACATTTTAAATTTGACGCAGTGGCGAGGTGATAGCCTACACTTGTAGATACCATATTATATAATATATTGTTTTACTCAAATATGTATTTTTTCTTCGACCTAAGGAAATTAAAAATAATTTATACCAATTAACAATGGACGACTTGGAATATTTTTGTAACTTCTCTTACATCAAATGTACGATAACCTACTATGCACTGTTGTAAAGTCCTCTCCCAAACACTACAATACGTGTCTTATAAATTGTTTTTTTGTTTATTATGTTAATTTTTTTTAATTGGCCGTGACTAAATAAACATGAATATATGACGGTCATATATCAGATATGTCATGATATGTACCCATTTTCGGTACATTTTTTTTTTTATTAGAACACCAACTTTTGGAATAATATATATATAATATATTATGTATAGGGCGTACGAACAGATGACCTATGACCCTCATCAACGAATTTACCACCAATATAGAAAATATTATATATTATATACGAAGTCATCCAACACGTGTGCAACATGTGAAATATAAATTATAATTATTTTATATAATTATTAATAATAAAATACAATACTATATATTTAATAGTCAAAATATAAAATACCATATAAGACCAACTGGCAACCTAGTTCAACTGATAACTTGAGTTAGTTTTCTAATACGACTATAGGGTATCTGTGGTTCACGGAGCCGGAATGATATAGATAACATAATAATATTATGTATTATGCAGATAAAAATTATTTTTTTATATGTACGTTGCTTGCATTTGATCCTTCCGTCGTCCTAACACACTTGCGGTACCGCTGTGTTATTGTATTTTCGTTTTGAAAATAGATTGACTGATACAATACGCTGATAATCGAGAATAATATACTTAAGTCAAAATATCAATTAATTGTTTATTTAAAATTAAAATAAAGGTTACGATTTTCAACATAATATATGAATTCCAAAGGGGGGAGGGTAAATGCAATCTTCTTTCCTATTATGGGCACCTATGAACAAGATGATGTTTGATAACTTGTTATTCATATTACGTCTTTTTATCACCAATTTGTGACTTAAGTAAACACTTTACATATTTACCAATCTACAACTTGGAGAAATTCGAATAAATATATTTTATTAAATACTGTCTATTTAGAAATGTGAACAATTCAAAGTCTACCTACTATCGTATATGTGCGTATTTGTACTAATTTTACAGGAATACCTGATTCCTAATTCTCAAAAATATTTAATGGGTACGTCTTATTCCATCTTATACCCTTTCAAAACAATACTAATATGCGGGCCCAGTTTGTAGGCCCTACGATTACGCCACCCTTTTTTCCTTGAATTGAAGCCACTAGCGGGTGTTTTTTTGTATAATACATAAGACATTTTTAATATAACTCCAATTTTAATAAAGTTAACATTCACATTTATATGATATAACTTTAAAAAGTTTGTAAGTTTATGTCACTCTGCTGTACAGTTGGTTACAAGTGGTCACTGAGTATATGGTGTTAAACTTGAATTCAATTATATTAAATCACTGTACAAAAATAAGCATCTATTTCAATTTACATGCAGCAAAGGGACTCAGAAAAGTAACACAAGTATCGAACATAAATATTATGTATCATATTATACGATATTGGTTCGATTCTACTTAAAGCCGTTATATGACAGGAATACCTGCAACAATTATATTTAACAGAAACGAAGTTCAAAAGATTAAAAATCTGTATTGTATGACCTATTGTATAGTTACAGATATTTTATAGCATGGACGGCCAACCCACGCAGTTGACACAAACTTGTTACATTCTCACATATGGGATTTTCAATTGTATACAATACCCATTTGGCCATTTATAATATAAATATACTATATAGGTACAGTATATAATATGTACAATTTTTTTTGCATTAATTAGTCGACCACCTATGACAATGACAGAACAACTTCGGGTAGTGACTACGTATATGTATATGAGATACATTGTACAAAATGGTTTGTGTCGGTATTTATGGGTATGTACTGTGTACAAAAAAATCCCTGTTTTTTCAATATAATACTATATTCATAATATAATTTTATGTATATAAACGAACAACTATGAGCAATCTCTTTATAAAACCGAGATACGCTGATTAAGTGCAGTATTTTCTTTTTATTAATTTTTTTCCAGACGAATTCAGATTATATGCAGCTTCTTGTTACTACTATAATCTATCAATATATGAATATAACATTTAACATAAGACAATAATTTCAGACATTTTTAAAAAAATATATCTTCTAGATAATTTTAAAACTGTTACAAAAACTATATAAAAAAAAAAAAACAAAATGCATTTTTAATTTTATATTCGGAAATTATTAATTATTAAATACCAACGCCTTATGTAACTAAGCATACGATTTAAAGTTTAGATTAGGGGTGTGGTGGAATAATATTTTACATGGTAGGTATAACTGTTTCACCAATCACAGAAATTCTTCTAAGCTACTCGATCTTAATATATCAAACATTTCAAAAATATAAAAATTATAGAGGCAAAAACAATAAGCAATATATACTATTTTAGAACAATTATGTTCTTAACTACTTGAAATGTTGTAAAAACTATTTTCAAAAAGTTTAAATAGTTTTCGTGTAATTTACTATATTAATCAAGCAATGTACTATAATTTTTTGAAAAACACGGTTTTTATGTGGTGACTTGATGTCTCGAAGATTTTCGAAATTATATCCATAAGGGTAACACGTTTTGAACACTGAAAGGTTTCAAGGTTTTTTTTTTTTTGGAAGCCGACGTCATATTTTCAACCCTTGCGTTCCGGATTCGTGACCTTCACAGTGTATAAAATGTTGGAGGTACAATATAATACTCTACAAAGAACTACCCCTCGATTGGAATTTCTTGTGTACACAACGAAATTGGCAGCGGTTGCATTATTATATGTGTGTGCGCGCGGGCGTGTGTGTGTGTGTGTGTGTGGGATTGGATGTGGGTGGGTTCTGCGTACCTTTGTCATAAATCGAAACGATTTTCTGACGTTATGGACTTTTGGGAACAAATAGTGAGTACACAACAGATACAATATAATAGTATATAATGACGGTACCTACCATATATGGACATGTCGACGCTTCACGACGGCAGTAACGGAAAATAATCCTGTGTATTGTAGAATATTTCGTAAAACTAATGCATAGTATCGTGGTACTACCTATGCAGTGGATAAATAAACTACTTTATACGACGATATAACTTCGACGGTCTATCAAGGAAAATAATATAGTATATTATATAAATGTACAGTTTCGAATTCTGCTGCGTAATTGCACTACTTGCGTATAGATATTATATATGTTACTACGAAAGTCCACAAATGATGAGTTCAGACAGTCACCGTTTAATATCGTCATACACCAAAGTCATTGGTGAATGTTGGCATATTAATTAAATTTGTACTGTTTGTAAGCATTTACTAGCGAATGTCGACATTTATATAACGATATTGGTGAATGTTGGTAAGCCGATGTTATTTAATCTGATCTTATCTAATATTCTAGTACCTACCTTTTAACTAATATAGAAGGTATTGTACATACAAGTTGATGATTTCAATAAAATGTTTAATTATTTTACACTGTGACTTATTATATTTGGATAACCACCATGCTATTTGCTGCCACATTAACATTTTGTATGATATTGTCATTCAACGTAGTTATAGGGTTATAGTAGAATAGTGATTTGCACAATAACCAAAATATTTTTTTTAATGGAAAACATACTTGAAGTATTTTATAATAAATTTAATAATTTAGTATCTTACATATTAGCTACCAAAAATGGTGTTATAAATAAATTATACACTAGAAACTAGTTTTCAGAATGGAAAGAAAATTTAATATCAATCACTGATCTACATATGGAACAAAAAATTTTCTTAAGCCAAGCTTTTGCATCAAATTCATCAACCGGTGGGCAATGGTATATAAGATGTAATTGCAAAACGTAACCTATGTCAAAATTAATCAAAATCCTGATGTAAATGTCAACATCTACTAGTACATTTTATATTATTTATATTTTTCAACTTTCAGCAATTTAGTAGGTGAATGTCGACATTCACTAAGTGATTGTCAGCACTCACCAATTACTGATATTCACAATAACATATACATAAATTTGACATAAATTTACCTTATATACACGCTATATTGAGAACGAAGAATCAACTAGTTATCGTAAAGGTGATTTGTGTTTATAGATTCTGGTTATAAAATTAAAGACAATTTTTATCATTCCGATATCAGTCAATTTTTATTTCGTTTCAATTATTTATTCATTTTTCAAGAAATAATGTTGAGTAAAAATGTCTTTTAAAATATTTTAAATTATCATGAATTTTTCAAGCCATTTGTTGATTTTGTTAACTTTATGTCGTGTGCCGCTTTATATAAAGTATATAATTTCTCGACTAGTAAATAAATTATTGTTACAAAATAATTGTACCTTAATTCAATTTACTTAGAATTTACAAGGTATAAGAAAACAGTTTTCAGGCCAATATGTCCTTAGTATATTATTCATTTTCATTTACCTTACGTTAGAGTTCACATTTGTTAGTCTTTTTATAATTAGGTTTGTGTTCACACACACAAACACACTTACAAATACATACATACACAGTGTGTTATGAATTGTGTTTAATTTTAAGGCATTCCTAAACGTTCCATTTTATAGAATTGTACATAGACATAAAATGTTTTTAATCAAAATTGATAATAACTCTATAACTTCAAATACTAAGCGTAAACTAAGTCTTAGCGTAAATATTTCTTTATTAAGTTTTACCATTTTATAAATACAATGATTGAAAATTATAATGATAATGAAAAGCAAAGTACCACTGATCACTTATTTTAAATTAAATTAAATTAAATACAAGATTGTTTGTTTTTTAAAAGTTAATGATGTAAAAATTAGAATCAGGGCGTAATTTTGTATGTAAAAATATAGAACTTATTAGCCTGTTCGCCAGAAAAATCTGGAGCCAGAGAAGTTTTTAATGCTGTTTTTGGTATCCGATGCCGAGCGTGTGGGTCTCAGATTGATTTTGGATTCATCCTTTGGCAGCAACCAGTTGACTAAACCTCTCTGTTCATTGGACAACATCTGTGGCAAGCCATCGCACGATTTGTCACTGCTAACTGCCATTAGGTACTTTGTAGAGTTGACCATCTGGTACATCTTGAGTATGCGGAAATAAGATAGATAGACAAAAATTAATCGACCTAAATTTATAAGGTATGTTAGGAAGCACATCTGGGGTCAAGAGAGCTAATTCTGTCCTTAACTCGAAACTACATCAAACTGTCGTTCTGAAGTTGTATTCAATTAGATGATCATTTTTATCATTTATTATCATACCCATACGAATTGTTTTAAGTGTAATAGCATACAATAGTTTACTATAAATATAATAAAAGAGATTTAAGATATGTGTATCATATAATTATCCAAAGATAGGTTGGTATTTTATTGATTATTTTAAAATTTAAAATTTGAAATACAAAATTATTAATTTCATTCATTATTTGTAAATATTCATTATTTTTTTCCAACAATTTAATATATCTATAAGTATATTAATAAGGCTAATAGAAAATTACATGTTCATTAACCTCGATGAAGGTATATATTCTGTATCAAATGAGCAATGAACCTCGGGTGGCTACTTATATTGTCAGGGTCTGTCACACTACTATAGCAATTTTATTATATGGCATTTATGTTTATACTNAAACAATGTACATTCTATAAAGTATTTGCTATAAGAAAATGGTTTATAAATAATTCCTAAAAATGTGATTGTATACAGAATATTAAATAAAAATTGATGCTACTATATTTTATCAGTTTTTTTTTATTTATATGTTAACATTGTCAACATATTATATAGATGGTAACCTTTACAAAAATTTGAAATTAAATATTAACTAATATTGAGTATCTTCGATCTGAAATGGAAAAAAAAAAAAAAAAAACCTTGATTATGACTAACATCATTCTAAAAAAATTATATAAACATGATATTTACAGAAATTATTATATAAAGTATTTACAGATATGAAGTGTTTACAGAGTATTTTCAGGTTATTTTCAGGTTATTTAGATAGATAATAATAATAATAATTTAATCAACATGCAGTAAAAATAATTATCAAAAATATAAAAACAAATATTGACGTTATAATTAATATATTATAACTTAATATCCACCGTCCTCCATCATTGCAATCATCTCTGCTTCCACCCGCTCAAGTTCTTTATCTTCCCTATAAAGTTCAAAAATAATATAAGTAAAATAAAATAAAATGTATTTTTTAATGATCTATCTTACTCTATACGATAATGACCATGAGCTAAGGTATGAATTTGGTCGTCGAGCACATGTCTCTTATCGTCCGATCGGTTTAACGCTAATTTAACTGTTGAAATTGTTTTCATCTGATGTTTGTACGATCTAAATGAATTGTTTACTCTAAACGGTGTATATTCATTCGATGATGATGTGTGTCCAATCGATTTAAATAACACAGATTGGTTGATTGCCATAGATCGTGCACTTTGCTCGTCGATCATTGGACTGTCCCAAAACAAACATTTTTTGTGATCTGCAATACTCAAATGGTTTTTCACAACATGACCACTTATACCTTTGGCTATAATTTTTTCATCACCAGCTAAATTATATGCATAAGATTTAGCTCTTAGAGCTATAAATTCCCTAATAGCTACCCCTTTACATTCATCAGTAAAGGTCCCAGGAAGTTTTTTTCTCTCGATACAATAGCACGGATGATCTGATGAAAAGTTTGAAGTATCCATGCGTTGTAATAAATCAGGGTTGTTCAGCAGATCATTGTAGTAGTCTTCACTTTTTATATTGTAAATCAATGAATCTGAAATAAAAAAATTGATTAGATAAGTTATTACAATATAATAAATTATAATGTCTATAAATACCTGTATCCGTGTACATCAGTTGAATATTGTCACCATAAGTTTTTACCATTGATTCGTAGTGGAAATCATAAATTAAAGTTTTTGATATGTCCAAAATAGAAAATCCAACATATATTGGTTTATCAAATTTTAATAAATCATCGTTTAAATGTATGGCGACCAGGTTTTCGCTATATATGGTAATGTCCTTGAAAGTATTTAAGTTAATTAACTTTAAACACTTTTTTTCATTACACACCAGCATCATTCTTATTCGATTTCTCACATTTTCCAACGTTTTTCCTGCAAGTAAGGATAGTTTTAATCACGTTTAAGCTAATATAGTTATTTTAATTAAATAAACATACCAAATACTGCATTGTTCATAAGTTTGAAAAACTCTCTTTCAAAATCGTTCATTGCATTTTTCCTCATATTTGTGTTTAATCGTATATACTTTTCAAGCCATGGAGATTGATCAAATTTTAAAACTCTGTGAACCTGAATAAAAAAAATATATTTAATAATCATAATATACTACAAGTAATAATTAGTATGTACAATTTTATTACTTTTTCCAAAACCAATCCTGCTTTTAAAGCTTGTTTCAAAGCCATATAATGTATAACATATTTTTTTTTAGTTTGTAAATTATTGGCAATGAGTTTTTTTATTTTTGATCCAGTGGTGGCTATCTTCTCTGGAAGGTAAAGTAATTCATTGTGGAGGTTATGTAACGACATGGGGTATGATATATCTACCTCCAACGCATAACCTACCCCCGATGTATCGTTAGTGTTTTCCAATAATTTTAAAATATATTCATTGCTTAAATCTTCGTTATACCATTGAAATCCACCTTTAGGCATGTCTTTTGACATTGCCCAACCATACCTGTCAAATTAAATACAATAACTATTCATTCATTTTTATGTGAAAGGTATAATACATACAGATTCGTAGCGTCCAAGTACACAATCCACGAATCAGGTTTTGACGGGTCATATTCAGGAACCTCTTTATTATTAGCACACGCATATTGCATACTCACCTGTGTAAGTCCGCCTCGAATTCCAGCCTCAATCATCAATATTTGGTCGTAATCACACAAAAGTTCAAGTTCGACCTCAGTATGTCGAAGCATACAGTCAAACGACATCCCAGGTGCAGTATAATAATAATTAGGGTCTAATCCGTAGGTGTTTATGCATAAATCTCTAAAATTTTCAAAAACGTCGCAAAGAAGCATGACATCGACTTTTATATACCAATCGCTGTATTCGCCAAGAGTTTTAAAATTAAAATAATTCCATACTCGAAGTGCGTGTTGGTAATCAGCTTCATTTATGTGTGATTCAGTTAATGTACTATAAAATTCACTTTCGGGGGGTAGGCAGTTATCTTGCAACTTCCCCCAACTGTCAGTATATTCATATGGATAAATACCTTTCCGTGTTACCAGATCAATATCGATGTTATTAAATATTTTTTTTATTTCTCTAAATTTACCCGGGTCACATTGAGCTAAATTATCAGCCAGTTTTTCTAAACTAGTAGCCATAAATCTACAAGTATCAACGAATCTAATTTGAAATCTATTCGTAATATATTTTGTAAATTAAATCAATTTTTCTTCCGAGTTCGGTATTACATTAATCGATTGGGTATCAAAACCTAGCTGCGTAACCAAGAAATGCGAGTCATAACCCGAAAGGTTGTGAAAAAAACACGGTACAAAATTAGGCTTTACCATTAATAGATTACATTTACTGCATGTAGTCCCTCTGTATTTTCCGTTTAAATGATTGTGGTCTCTTACAGGTAAATTGTTATTGATAAATTTAGTCTTACAAAGTGGACACGTCCCCCGATCAGCGATACTACGGTGTAATTTATTATCATTATCGTTCATTATTAGCGGCACGTTTGTATTTAATAGCTTTTCTATTTTTAATCCAACTTGTACGATTTCTTGCAAAAACTTTTTTGCGACTTCACCCACAGCAAAACTTGAATCTCCGCGGAATATAACGGGAGTCGTGACAATTTCAAATTGTTCTAACAACTCTTGTGATACATCGTCACTTGCTTTAATATAAAAACAATAACTCATCACGTCATGATGGTGAATAATACTAGTATTTGATTCATAATCGCTATCATTTTCTTTTTTTAATATTGATTCGAAATCTGCATAGATTGCGAAGGGGTGTTTTTGTGTTCGTCCCCAATTTTTAAATTTCATATATGTATTAGGTTTTGGTAATACCGGACTCATTAGTTTATTTTTATTACAATTAATTTTATGATCTTTAAGCCTTTTATTTGCGTCAACGCCAGAATATGATTTGAAACATCGTTTACATAATAACACAGCATGTCCGTGCAAAGATAACTGCGACCCGATTAATTTTGGTAAATTTGTAATTCGACAATAATGGTGTTTCCCGTTTCCATCACCAAACAATAAAAGATCGTGGTGGTCATCTAATTCTTCATCACAAACTTTTGAAGGGTAAACTACATACGAATTTAAATTTGAATTATTAAGATTTGTTTTTTTTGACATTTTCTTGAGATTATTTTTATATTCACACCTCCCCCGTTTTAAACCATAAATATTGACTGACACCCCCGGATTTAATTTTTCAAATTTTTCAACATCTTTTAACGGAACAGGGAAACACAAAGTTGAAAAATCATAACTAGCCTCTACTTCAGTGTAATTCAATCCTACTCTTTCCGCATGAATCGGGTTGACTAAATTAGCTAAGATGCTATACTTGAAACATTTTTCATCATCATTTTGAACGTTGATAGTTGATTTTTTTGAATGTATACTAGCGGGCAGTGGTATATATGAGGAACCCCCCAAAGGTTTATAAATATTAACGTTCAATATTATTCCGTCAATACTAAATAAAGAATAACCGCTACCTTTTAAAACCATTTCTTCTTTTTCTTGAAGTATCTTTAGAAAATCTTCTTCCAACAGTTGGTTTAAATCGTCTGATTCAAATACAGACCTCGATTGAGTTTTAAACGCTCTGTTTTGTTTACTATCAGTGTTTGGTAAAATATATGTCGCCTCTAATTTTATATTGTATTTTATTGAAGTCTGCTTAACTATGTTATTTATTATTTCAAACATTCCGGGCTTTGAAGCTTGTAAAAACTCTCTCGCGTCTATAATATTATCTATATTTTTTCTATAATATTCTGTGCATAACCCCCTAAATGCGGACTTTGTTTTTATAAATTGTGCGGACGAAGTCTGTGTGTGTGTGGATGGGTTTTGCGTACCTTTGTCATAAATCGAAACGATTTTCTGACGTTACGGATTTTTGGAAACAAATAGTGAGTACACAACCGATACAATAAAATAGTATATAATGACGGTACCTACCATATATGGACATATCGACCCTTCACGACGGCAGTTCCTATGTAGTGGATAAATAAACTACTTTATACGACGATATAACTTCGACGGTCTATCGAGGAAAATAATATAGTATATTATATAAATGTACAGTTTCGAATTCTGCTGCGTAATTGCACTACTTGCGTATAGATATTATATATGTTACTACGAAAGTCCACAAATGATGAGTTCAGACAGTCACCGTTTAATATCGTCATACACCAAAGTCATTGGTGAATGTTGGCATATTAATTAAATTTGTACTGTTTGTAAGCATTTACTAGCGAATGTCGACATTTATATAACGATATTGGTGAATGTTGGTAAGCCGATGTTATTTAATCTGATCTTATCTAATATTCTAGTACCTACCTTTTAACTAATATAGAAGGTATTGTACATACAAGTTGATGATTTCAATAAAATGTTTAATTATTTTACACTGTGACTTATTATATTTGGATAACCACCATGCTATTTGCTGCCACATTAACATTTTGTATGATATTGTCATTCAACGTAGTTATAGGGTTATAGTAGAATAGTGATTTGCACAATAACCAAAATATTTTTTTTAATGGAAAACATACTTGAAGTATTTTATAATAAATTTAATAATTTAGTATCTTACATATTAGCTACCAAAAATGGTGTTATAAATAAATTATACACTAGAAACTAGTTTTCAGAATGGAAAGAAAATTTAATATCAATCACTGATCTACATATGGAACAAAAAATTTTCTTAAGCCAAGCTTTTGCATCAAATTCATCAACCGGTGGGCAATGGTATATAAGATGTAATTGCAAAACGTAACCTATGTCAAAATTAATCAAAATCCTGATGTAAATGTCAACATCTACTAGTACATTTTATATTATTTATATTTTTCAACTTTCAGCAATTTAGTAGGTGAATGTCGACATTCACTAAGTGATTGTCAGCACTCACCAATTACTGATATTCACAATAACATATACATAAATTTGACATAAATTTACCTTATATACACGCTATATTGAGAACGAAGAATCAACTAGTTATCGTAAAGGTGATTTGTGTTTATAGATTCTGGTTATAAAATTAAAGACAATTTTTATCATTCCGATATCAGTCAATTTTTATTTCGTTTCAATTATTTATTCATTTTTCAAGAAATAATGTTGAGTAAAAATGTCTTTTAAAATATTTTAAATTATCATGAATTTTTCAAGCCATTTGTTGATTTTGTTAACTTTATGTCGTGTGCCGCTTTATATAAAGTATATAATTTCTCGACTAGTAAATAAATTATTGTTACAAAATAATTGTACCTTAATTCAATTTACTTAGAATTTACAAGGTATAAGAAAACAGTTTTCAGGCCAATATGTCCTTAGTATATTATTCATTTTCATTTACCTTACGTTAGAGTTCACATTTGTTAGTCTTTTTATAATTAGGTTTGTGTTCACACACACAAACACACTTACAAATACATACATACACAGTGTGTTATGAATTGTGTTTAATTTTAAGGCATTCCTAAACGTTCCATTTTATAGAATTGTACATAGACATAAAATGTTTTTAATCAAAATTGATAATAACTCTATAACTTCAAATACTAAGCGTAAACTAAGTCTTAGCGTAAATATTTCTTTATTAAGTTTTACCATTTTATAAATACAATGATTGAAAATTATAATGATAATGAAAAGCAAAGTACCACTGATCACTTATTTTAAATTAAATTAAATTAAATACAAGATTGTTTGTTTTTTAAAAGTTAATGATGTAAAAATTAGAATCAGGGCGTAATTTTGTATGTAAAAATATAGAACTTATTAGCCTGTTCGCCAGAAAAATCTGGAGCCAGAGAAGTTTTTAATGCTGTTTTTGGTATCCGATGCCGAGCGTGTGGGTCTCAGATTGATTTTGGATTCATCCTTTGGCAGCAACCAGTTGACTAAACCTCTCTGTTCATTGGACAACATCTGTGGCAAGCCATCGCACGATTTGTCACTGCTAACTGCCATTAGGTACTTTGTAGAGTTGACCATCTGGTACATCTTGAGTATGCGGAAATAAGATAGATAGACAAAAATTAATCGACCTAAATTTATAAGGTATGTTAGGAAGCACATCTGGGGTCAAGAGAGCTAATTCTGTCCTTAACTCGAAACTACATCAAACTGTCGTTCTGAAGTTGTATTCAATTAGATGATCATTTTTATCATTTATTATCATACCCATACGAATTGTTTTAAGTGTAATAGCATACAATAGTTTACTATAAATATAATAAAAGAGATTTAAGATATGTGTATCATATAATTATCCAAAGATAGGTTGGTATTTTATTGATTATTTTAAAATTTAAAATTTGAAATACAAAATTATTAATTTCATTCATTATTTGTAAATATTCATTATTTTTTTCCAACAATTTAATATATCTATAAGTATATTAATAAGGCTAATAGAAAATTACATGTTCATTAACCTCGATGAAGGTATATATTCTGTATCAAATGAGCAATGAACCTCGGGTGGCTACTTATATTGTCAGGGTCTGTCACACTACTATAGCAATTTTATTATATGGCATTTATGTTTATACTTAAGTCGTATTAGGGTTATATCATATAATGAAGTTAACCGAATTAAACTGCTTTGTGAAGATGCCTACAGACTAAATTCATTATAATTAGATGCAACTGAAAAAAATGGAATGATTTATTTAAGTGGATCATTAATGAGTTCAAATATGTTTATAGATGCTCTGGTCAGTAAAACCCAATATTATTATAATATACTTACAGCACATCTGATATCTTGTTTGCCCATGAGTTTGGTGACTCGGCCGTATAGCATGACGGTCAATTTTTTATCGTTGGAGTCTACTGATGACGTGAGTGGTGGTGATAGACAGGGAAACACCAAAATTTCCATAACTGTATCATCAGAACCTAACGACAGAATAATAATACACGAGTTCGATGAATGTAGTAATCATGTTTGTACATTATTATTTATTATAGTCGATATTGTGACGAGTATCTATGACGCATTATTCTCACTATCACAATAATCATCAGACAATTATTTATTATCCAATATTTAGATTCAACATTGATATCAAGACTAGTGCTCTGTTAGTACGAGGTAGGTAGTAGGGTGGCGAAGGTATGATTGTAATAAGGGGTAGCTGAGATACAGGGGCAAATCGTTGTGAGTGTAGTAATGTTTAAAGTTTTGTGTTGCAATATATTTACATTTCATCAAATGAATATCAATTTCATAAAAATACTGAATTAATATGTTCAGTACTATCATTCTTCCTTATTTATAAGGAAGTTGTTAGATAAATTATATATGCATTACATTTACAATTCATATACTGTTATTTAAAATTATGAGAAGAGTAATGCATATATTGATTTTACAATGATGTGTGTGTGCTTTTTAAATTGTTTGAACCTAATCAGTTTTTCAAAAAGTTTATTTTGGTTTTTGATGTAATTTAAAATACCTGTAGATATAAGTACATGGAATTTTAATTGAATGTTAAATATAAGAGCACCAAAATTATTTCGGAACATTCCAACCCATTTTTATTTTTTAAAGGCATAAGAGAATTTCGAGCTTTCTTAGTTTTGTTAAAAAACTTGAAAATATAATACGACGTCCTTCATGCGTCGTTGTTATATCGTAACTACTAAATATTTTTAATGAGCGTCTGAAGCATTTTGACAAAATTCGGTAAGGTCACGAAAATTGGCAAATTATTTCTAGTTGGAAATTCATAAAAAAAATTTTTATTTATAACTAATTTGAAGTAAGAAATCAAATGTTCGTGCGTAAATTAATAAAGTTGCTCATACTACCATTTCCTATTTTCTTGTAAGTAATTCAAAACCTAACAATCCAGAGTACTTAAAATATTAATCAAATATTTATTATTTTATTATTTTCTTCACATTAAGAAATGTTCAATATAATATAGACAATGTTTGAAATTTTTATAGACATTTGAAATTTTTTTCCAATAATGAAAAGGTTTTTAATATTGAAAATACAAGTTTTATTGTAGCTAGTTACATAGCAATTGGGGAATATTAAAGATTAGTGGGCACGATTTTCCTATAAGTATTAAACATTTTAAAAGTTCAAATCCGGTCAAAATATATTACAATCTTGAACACTTTCAAAATTATTTTGTATTAAAAAATTATAAAACGTTCTAACTGTAACTAAAAAGTCAAAAAATATTTATAAACACAGTTAATTTCAATAGGCATTTTAAGTTCAAATATGAACAAAATTACATGTTAAGATCCAGGATATTGATTTTAGTTTCTTTGTGGTAATTCAAAAATATTCATGTATACTTGAGATTTTGGGAGTTCATTATTGTATATTGGATTTATTTAAACGAATGTTATCTACTGTAGTACTAATAAGGTTTAATAGTAAAATTAATCACTTTAATCCCAATGATAATATCATAAAATATAATTAGTAATATTTAAGTCCGACGGACTGTGTTCACTTAGAATCATTTTTCGTATACAATTGTTTTAAATTAGAGATCTCAAATTGGAACGTGAATCTGAATTTATACAATCACGTGTTTTTTGTTCACGTGTACTTAAGTTACTAAAAATTCGTGATTTAAATTCCAGTGTAATTAATTAGTAAATCACTGATATTTTCTTCGTGTGTGCTTATACCCTAATATTTATTTAACTCATTAAATTTTAATAAAATATTGAAAAAAGATAAGTTAATAATTTCCGTGAAAAACTGAAGACCAAAAAATATTTATACCTAATATTCTAAAAATATAAGTTTCATAAACAATACTATCGTAAAATGACGAGACTGGCTAATTAATATAACTAATTTCTGTAAGTCATATTTCAAGTTCTTTAGATCCTAGGTTTGAGTATCTGGAACATGAATCATTGAGATTCATGTTAGAGAAGTTCGTTATTATGTTCAAAATGTATTAAATGATGTTGTTGTTCATCAGCAACAGCCACAACAACATACATCGTTCGGTAATAGCGATCTCAAATTTTTATATTGTAATGAAAATCTTAATGAGAATGACATAGCTGATCAGTTTCAACTGATTTCAAGGCTACCTAGGAGAAACACAATTAAGAATTGACTTTGGTCCATTCGAATGGTGGAAAACACAGGAACATAAATATCCAGATATAGCTAAGTTGATATTAAAATATTTCACAATACCAGCAATATCAGTAAGTTTGGAAAGATGTTTTTCTACAGCAGGTAATATAGTTTCATCAAAAAGAAGCTTTATGCTGTCGGAGAATGTTAATATTTTGATTTTTCTTTATCAAAACAAGAAATTATTAGAATAAAAATGATTGTTTTTTTTTTTATAAATTATTGTTATTCAATTTCACACAGCATTTTATGGTACCTACTTATAGCCTATAGGTATACTATTCTTACTATAGTTTATAATACCTACATACACATGAATATCTATTTACCTGTTAAGATTTATTAAACTATAACATATATTATATAATAAAATATTATATTAATTGTCATTATTGTATTATGCGAGCAAATTATACATGTCAAAATATTGGACTTTTTGTCCAAAATAAATCAATAAATAAAGTTTAAAAAAACCTTTTTAATTTTATCAATTTTTATGCTATACGTAATTTTTGTAACGAAATTTATGAAATTGTATAATATAATGTATTTAAAATGTATTACACATACCTGAGGAACGTAGCTTACCGTTATTCAAACGGTTGAACTTCAATCTGAATGATTTTAACAAGAGAGTTTCGTCATGAGGTTTGAAGTTGAAGGAAGCACTACTTTTAACTGTTGACGAATCCGAAACATTAAATATGACATTAACATCTGCTGTTTCAATTGTGGGGCATATACCATAGTTGGATGGAAAGACTGTAACACGTAATACATCGAGACAAATATTATAGGTTTAGTGTTTATAATAGTTATAAACAGCGAATTAATAATAATAATGATATAATTGAGTATAAAATTAATACAAAATAATAAAACGCGTAAATAGCGAAATAATTATAATGATTGAGAATTTAAATTTAAAATAAAAATAACATATAACAGAAATCAAAAAAATTGAGAATGACTACATGAAAGATAATAACTAACACACTGTGTGAAATAAATTTAATTAAACAAAGAATGAAATAAGAACATTTATGTCGATACTTACGAGTGTTAAGATTCTCATCAGATAGCCCGATGCTGGCTGCGTTACTGGAAACAGCGAAAATAGCGATAATCGTCATAGTCATTGCTACCATGGACGTCATTGTGGTATTTTAAATGTAAATGCAGGAGACAATCAAGAAAACGAAGAAAATTTACTAAGTAAATAAACCGTTGGAGAAATATTAAATTAGGTATCTGGAACTGCCAGAGAAACGAGACAGGTAAACTAGTGAACGATAAGAAGTCGGTACACGGATCGCACAGTGGTAGCGAGACACCCTCGGCGTGCTCTTTTATAAGCCGCCTCTTTGCCGGGGGCGGTAGTAGTGATGGTCGTCCCCTCCACCGGCTGTGTATAAATATAAGTGATATAACAGGCTTTCACCGACCAATACTCCCGCCCACTAAACAACTAATATAATGTATATGTTACGAGCAATGTAAACCACGAATTTTTTTTTTAACCAACTAATATTATTTTTTATTATTATTACCTATATATAGTATTAATTGTATTCATGTATCATAATACAAAAAACTATGAATTTTTTGAAACACTGTGTACAAACTTATTTTTGTTGCTTATCGCACTGCTTATTTAAAAATCAAGTGTAGAAAAGCAGACATACTATGTAATTCCAAGTGCTATAAATCTTGTTCAAATAAATAGGTAATAATAAAATTATAATTTAATTTAAAAATGAAATTATGATACTGGTTAGTTTTTTTTTTTGTTATCCCCTCACAATATTTGTAATATTATGGTATATGAATTAAATTAATAATAATAACAAATAATATTAGTTGGTTAAAAAAAATGTGAGTTTACATTGTTCGGCCAGGACCCCGTTGACTGGATTGAATGTGTACATTGCCCGGTATACCACATTGCCCGTAACATATACATTTTATTTAATGTACCAAAAATGTTTCAAATTTTATCTATTTTTCCACAAAAATATCTACCCAAAAATTAAGTGTATGTGCATAACAATGGACATTTAATAAAAACTAGTTTATTTTTATACTGTATTTGTTTAGCTACTAGAAAAAGTACCAAGCATTGTAACAGCACTGTCGTATTATTGTCCTCTCATATTTTCAATTTATAAGTCCACAGATTGTAAAGTTTTAATAAATATGAAAGCGTTTCACAGTCTATTTTGTCTGTTTTATAAAAACTAATATAATACTTGTGTTAAAAGGCCACTATACCCACCACTCAACTACGGACCAGGTGAATAACTCAAAGATGTGTTTGTTCCTGTAATATGACAATTAAATACCTACAACTAGAGCACAATCAAGAATAATTCAGAAAACACGAGTGACAAAAGAAAATCTACTAATTAATGTTAGGCACTTTAACGGTTTGATAATTCCTGATTTATCAAATTTACTAAATAAATGTATATAATAATGAAATTGAGAAAATTGAATTTAAATATTTCCAACTCGATGTAAATATATAAAGATTTGGACCAGCGAATAGAAAATATAAACATTAAATTACAAATGAGGTGATATAAAAATTACCTAAAATGTACTGCCATGATTTTAATTTTTAATCATTAAATACTATATATTTATCATCGAACAACAATTATTTTTAACATACAATTATTTATTTTAACACATATTTTTATCATTATATTTTAATACTCATCATTTTGATTTTATATAGTATATTTAACATAGAAAAACAATTAAATTTTTACTGTGAATATTTTGAAAAATAATTTTTAATTATTGAATATTTTATCATATAAGTATATATCTAATTAAATTGCTATCATAATACTACTTATATTGATATTTTAATTTCATCATAATACAAAATGCATCATACGTGGTTTAAAAATACCGTACATTTTTAACTCGGTTATTATGAGTACAGTATATTGGGGTCTACTGGGTCTAGTGACGCGGATCATTTGTGGCCGGATATGATTTACTGGATCAAATGTCAAGCAAATCAATAATTTAAGGTCATCACTGCTTTGCCCCGGGCCCCCGAAAATTGTCTGAAATGGGTCCCTGTTAGGAAAAATTGCTCCAGGGGTTATTGTGTACCCACTGGTTGTTCCAAAAAATCTGTAACGTCAGAAAATCATTTCGACCCACCCACCTCCAATCCCACACACACACACCCACACACATTATTTCACCTAACTACTGCCACGATGTGTCAGAAATCTCCATACATGGTACCGGCATTATATATTAATATTATTGTCTTATATCCATGTATTATATACAGTTATTATTATAGCAATACAGCTCTTATTGTATCCATCCACTGTCTTCGTTAAATTGTCAGTTAGTATGTCATATTTAAAGATGCTAGACGTGAGTTTTGTTCGTCCAATCACCTATTTACTATTTACATCTACAAAATTAATAGGTTTATTGTGTTAGTTTAGTTTTAGAGTTAGGATGAATATATTTTTGATCAGATCTAAACTATTAATCAGGGATTTATAGTTCAAATAATGTAAGAAAATAAAAGAACAGTAAATATGATTATTGTTCAGTACACTAACTGAATATTTTTATAGAATTTATTATGGAAATAATACATTAAGAATCTTGATACATTATAGTTTAATTTAATATAAATTCTTAAATAAATGTATTTATTTTCAACATTTTAATTAGTGCTGATACCACTGATTGATTGTAGGTACCACTGATAGATTATAGAATAAGTATGGAGAGGGACAATATTTCGGGCTCAACAATTTTTTGGCAGGCTCGGAAGAGCCGTTCAAGGCAGGCTTGGACTAGTCTAAGGAAACTAAGGCTGGTAAATTAAATCCCACATTAAATTCCTGTCTATGGCACTGATTGGTAGGTACTTACTACGGGTGGAGACGTTTTCTCGTTAGTTTAATACTCAAGTTGAAAAAACTTCTAGTTAACTATTAGGAACAAATAATAACGCAAACTTCAGATCTTCATTACGAAATCAGCTAAACAATCCGGGTTCATTTTATTGTAAATTTTACCTTCCAATTACCTATTAGTATTTTTCTTGTATAAAAATTTTCATCAAAAACAACCATCAATTTTGTTTAGTTATGAATACAGGTACACTGCGTCTGCAACTGGAACAAATAAACACATTTGTACCTACCCATAAATTAAACCTGAAAAATATAACATGTATCTTAGGTATAGGGATGATCCATCAATGTATATATTATCTCTGGAAGTAGTAAAATTAATTAGAATTCATAATTGTACATTTATATAATATACTACATTATTTTCCTTGGTAGACCGTTGTAGTTATATCATCGTATTAAGTAGTTTATTTATTAATCCACTGCATAGGTTGTACCACGATACTACGCATTAGATTTACGAAATATTCTACAACACAAGATTATTTTGTCGGACTGCCGTAGTGAAGGGCCGATATGACCATATATGGTACCGTCATTATATACTATTATATTATATCGGTTGTGTACTCACTATTTGTCCCCAAAAATCCGTAAAATGTTCCAGAATATCGTTTCGATTTATGACAAAGGTACGCATAACCTCCACACACACACACACACACACACACACACACACACACACACACACACACACACACACACACACAAACACACATACACATAAAACACACATTATATCACTGGACTGCTGCCGCGAAGGGTCAGAAATGTCCATATATGGTACCGGCATTATATATTTATATTATTATATTATATCCATCTTGAAATAAATCTTTCCCATCGTTCCCAAAATCCGAAACGTCACACACACACAATACCCATATCTATAATATATATATAATATTAAAACATATTGCGCAGTTGATTATTATTATTATTTTTCCGTATATATCGTCGTATATACTACGTGGTTTCTATATAAAACAACTACGTAGTATCTACGAACTACGCAGTAGTTTTATGAAATATTCTACAATGCGCAACATCATATTGTTGGTCTGCAGTAGCGAAGAGTCGGAAATTACCTAACATGTGTAAGTCTTTTAATCTTTTATTATACGTTCCTGATAATCCGAATATACAATTTTTACGTAAAAAATCGAAATTTTGAAAATTGGGCGACGTGATGACACTTAGGAAGGTATTTGTTATAATTCTTGTTATAGTGTCGTCACTAAAATGATACATAAAAAAGGCCTATTCTTTTATGTATGTACAAGCTGAGCCAGCAAGGTTTTTATTTAATTTATTTTACTAAATATACTACACTAGTGTGTCTATGATCCAATAATTTACTTTAAAAACTGAAGTGTTCATAACGATCGGTTGAGTAATTTCTGAGGACATATCACACAAAGATTTTCATTTTCACATTTATATATTAGAAGATATTATAATGTTTAAAACATACTGTGTAGTTGATTATTATTATAATTTGTATCATGTTACCAGAAGGGTAAATCCCACTAACTTTTTCTTAAACACCTAGAAGTTGTAACAAAGGAGAAATACCGAACATATCAATTATTGCTCATATTGGTTAAGTATAAACTGAAAAATATCCTGGTAATGATTTTAATAATAATAAATAAATTAGTGACATAAAATAAACAGTTTTCGTCTAGCTGTGGAGCTAGATATCGTGTTGAAAATTTGAAAGATACGATATAAGTTATTCCTATTACTTATTGGTTGAAAATGTTGAAGGAAAGTTGTCAAGCAAACCTGGTTTGATCACACGAATACCTGTCACGTCGTAGTACATACCAAGTAAGTTGAGGTACCTCACAATGTACCTATTATATCTAGTAGCATGTACCAAATGTTCAAGTTCTTAATTTAGCAGCGCTCGAACTCGTTCAATTATAAAACTTCATCAATTCCTTTGGCATAATGCAAATTTAAATAGTGATTTAAATATTGATTAGCAAACGGTGGGACGGGTTCAACTATTGTATAAAATGTATATAATCATTGTTAAATCGTCGTACTACGCAGTTTCTATATAAAACAACTGCGTAGTATCGTCAAACTACGCAGTATTTTTTATGAAATACCCATTATACAATGGGCAACATTATATTCCTGGACTGCAGCTGTCGCGAGGGGTCGGAAATGTCCATATATATACCGGCATTATATTATATTATTGTATTATATTGGTTGTGTAAAATATTTTAATCTTTCATTGTACCTTCCTGAAAATTCCAAGCGTATTTAAACGTATCGAAATATGACACGGGTACACAAAAGACACACATATTCATAATATCTACAGAGTGTACAATAAAGGTACTGCTTATTTCATTCTGCACATTTTACTGTACCTACCGTTTTGAAAATGTTTTTGTCGTTTTTTTGTTCAAATACATTATACGTGTCTCTATTTTTTTTTTTATCAAAATAAATATATTTATTGCAGCTTGATTAATTTAAGCCAATGAGCAAAGCTCTTTATGATGAGTAAAAAGGGAGGACATGAGAAAGTATTAAATGTTATAAAAACGACACATGTCGGTTTGAGATTATTGGATTATTGAATTGTTAGCTATATTCGACAGCCACGGGCCCACGGGATCATCTCAGCCTATCATGGTTGGAATAGACAACATTGAAAAAACAAAATGACCGATGTGTACAAGTCGGACATCAATGTGAAGACTGCGAGGTAGTTATGTGTGTGCACTAGATAGTGGGTCAGAAACGTAACCAGACATTTTTCTATAAGGGGACCAACATTTTTTGGCCCCTTTCTGTTTTTTGTCAGCATTTTTATCATATATTAATATAGGTATACAATATATATCTTAAACAACTATATAAGGACAAGTCGTCTATTTTTATGGTTCGCTGTAAATCTTTCAGTAAATTCATCTAAATCATTACTTAGGTATCACATGGATAGGTTGTTAATTTTAATTTTGTTAGGTTTGTCTGTAATTGTGTTTATCAAATGTGCGTTCGAGACCCGTATTTAGAATTCCTGGTTTCTGAGGTTAGTATTATTGTCTTATCTCATTATCTCAAATTGTCGAGTGACGAATACTGCTTGTGAAATAAAATCTCAGGATTCAATTTTTGTTTTACGATCGTTAACTGTATGGAGTACCGTATAATAGACTCGTACATTCAGGATTTAGCCAGTTTAGTATATAATATTTAAAAATAAAAATCAAGGGAGCCAGTTCGGGGACACTGACTTTTCTTGGGGGGCCAGGCTCCCTTAGGCCCCCCCTTGGCGACGTTCCTGTATTGGGGTCAGACTTACGTGACATGAAGAGTCAGATTTCGCGGAAAGAAGAAAGAAGAAGTCGTTGGTCCGCAGCGGCGTTCGGTCCGTCGGGCCGTTGTATCGAGGTGTTTGAATATTGTGGCAGATTAGTTTCGGTTAAACAAGAACTTTGGTACAATATTATAAATTTTGGAGTCCATCTTGAACTGCTGTGGGAAAATGTTGACAACGACGACGAGACGGCGGTGGACGCCATGGATCGGTGAGTCAAGTTGCTCTAGCACTGCCATGAAACGGGGGAACGGGGGATGTGTGTTGCATAATATTGTTGTTGTTTAAAATTTATTATATTGCTTAAAGCGCGCGTTCGTAATATAATAATAAGTACACAAACTAACCTACTACGTAATAAGAATTATAATAATGGGGAATTAAAGAATAGTGATATTATTAAGGAGACCTAAAATTCTGTGAAGTAACAATACATTTACAAAGGCCTTGTCATAACAATTCCTTCATTATGAAGGCTTCATACAACAATTGAGGAAATGGCTTAACAACTGCGAAAGCGTAGTATAAGACCGTTGTTATGATCGTCGTAAGTACTACGTAGTCTCTATACGAAACAACTGCGTAGTATCGTCAAACTACGCAGTATTTTTATGAAATATGATACAATGTGCAATATTATATTTCCGGACTACCGTCGTGAAGGGTCGATATGTCCATATATGGTACTGTCATTATATACTATTATATTATATCGGTCGTATAAACACTATTTGTTCCCAAAAATCCGTAACGTCAGAAAATCGTTTCGACCCACCCACCCACGCTACAGCCATCCCACACGCACACACAAAACACACGATTATTTCCTCGTCCGTGAAGGGTCGGAAATGCCTATACATATATATATATGTACTGACATAATATATTGTTATATTATATCTATCGTAAAATAAATCGTTATATTGTTCAAAAAATTTCGAAATCTCACGCACACAGAATTCTTTTATATTGTTATATATATATACCGGATGATCATAGAAGTATGCTCATCCCCCTTTTTTTCTTTAATAATGAAGATTTTCAAAATCTGGTTTTTGAAATCTTTAAATATACTCAAAGACCATATTATCATTTTTTTGAAATTTTTTGTACCACTTAAGGAGTGTCCAGTGGCGATACAAACATTTCTTTTTCAAATGGGAACCATAATTTTTTTGCTGTAAATTATTTAGCGGATAACATTTTTGAGAATTTTGATATTGTATCGAAATCAAAATTCGAATGAGTAGTTTTATAGTTATTACACATTTTATACAAGGATAATATAGTTTATAATAGGGAATAAGGATTTGCTTGTACAGTATACTTTGTTATCTATGCACATAATATAAAATAATACTTCATTTTATATTTATTTAATCAAACACTTAAATAAATATCAAGTAAAAATCCTTCTTGAGTTATTTAGTTATTTTTCTTATACATATTGCTAATTCGATTGATGAAAAAAGATAATGAACCGTAGAAAGTCTTAAAAAAATATATCTAATTCCGTAGTCACTACGCGTCTACTGTCGAGTACTTTAGTACCTACCCACCTAGTTTCATCTCAGTCATTGGAGTGACCAATAATAAATATTACAGACAATTTCACAAAGCTAACCCCAATTATAAATAATTAATGTTACGAACAATTAATTATTAGTAAATTAAGAATCATTATTGATTTATAATTATTAAGATAATAAATTATTATTACCAAAATACCTAGCTAAATATTAATTAGTATTATAAATTTGATAAGAGCCTTACAAAATTGTAACCAAATTAAAAACCTGTTATTTTGTTTAATACAATTAAACATTGAAAGCCGACAGTATAACAGGTAGCTGCTAGGTATATATACAGAAATACTTATTGTACTTTATTACGTAATATTCTATTATAGTGTAATATTTTAATAGTTCTATACAAGATATAAAGCCGGTCCCACACGACTCGTGTAATCGGCGAATATTCGTCAATCGTACTACTTTGCGAGTCGTGTAGGAGATGTTTAATCGTAAAGCACGACGATTATTTTTACTCGCCGAGTCACTCGCGGTTTCCCGTTGATTGTCGGTAAATGTGACACGAGTCAAAGGAATTATAAATAATCGCGTCTCGATATTTCGGTAATCGTGGAGTTTCCCACACGACTCGTCCTGGCTCGGTACTCCCGCCACTCACTAGTTTAGTTTGTTGGAAGTCTGCAACGTGGTAATTTATGTGCAATTCATTTAGTGTACGCATTTTCGGTGACTATATTGCCTTTATTAAATTAATATTTTAATAATTTAATTCATAAATATTCAGTTTACTCATTAATTATTCATAGTATATTTTCGGTGTGTATTTTTTTAAAAATGGAATGGACAAATGAAAATACAATGGAATTTTTAAATCTTTATGAAAAAGAAGCATTAATATGGAATCCTAAAGATCCTTTACACAAAAATAGGAACGCTGTTAGTGATGCTTGGAACAGGATAAAAGATCAACTAAGTGTAAACTGTTCAATCCAAGATCTAAAAAAAAAAAAAGATTCACTGATGGCATCTTTTCGACCACTATCCCACAAAGTGAAGGATAGTATGAGAACGGGCTCCGCGGCAAATAACGTATTTAAACCTAATTGGATTTTTTACGAACCCATGGCAAAATTTTTACACAGTATTTATCAACCAAACGTCACAATTAATACAGAGGTATGTTTATATTTTTATTTTTATTTAAAATTGATTCATCGTAAATAGTCATTATTATTAATACCTGCTTTATTAATAAGTATTATCATAATAGTTAGTGGACGGGCCGATAGCATAAAATAATAATATGCGCACACCGGACACCTAATTGTTGACCACTAACACCTAGGACAGTTCTTGAAAATATGAGGACCAGCTGGGTGTGTAGTGGTGTAATAGCTCGAACAGCAGTGGTCGGGATTGCCGGGCAAATACTGTCGAGCTACGTAATGCGTGTAGTGTATTTATGTGTATTATTTGTGTGTTATGTGTGTATATATGTGGGTGTGTGTACAATAAGACAATAATAATAAAATGGTAACACGGTTTCTGGTAATAATTTGCTGTTGCTGTATAATACAAAATTTAAATAATAATGATACAAATATATTATAAAATTCACAGCAATATAATAGATATAAAAATATAATATAATTCACTGTAGCTATTAGAGCTACGTGAAAATATAAAAGATTAGCCCTTCTGGCTCAACAGAATAGCAATAATATATAAAATAATGCGTGCAAAATAACGTTCGGCCCTTATGACCAAACAAGATATAAATATAATGTTTTGTTAAATTGCAGTTAACAAAATATAAAAATAATGATAATATGCGGTCCTTATGACCTAGCAGAATATTTAGTACCTACCATGCGCCCTTCTGGCACGGCAGAATATAACAATAATTGTAACAAACATATAATAAATATAATAAAATAACTCACAGTTTGTGGAGCGCAGACTGGCCAGCTGGTCCTGTGCTATAATATGAAAATTGTACAAAAAAAA